TATTACTCTAGTAACACGATTAATGAATCCTCACCATCCATTCACTTATGAGAATTCTAAATACGGATTGCTATCAGTGAAGAGGGCTTCAGCCTTCAGATGAAGATATTTTCCCATAATAAGACTAGCTGGCTGAACTGGCTAAAATAAAACATGCTTGAGTTGGTCTAGATAAGATCTTAATTCCACAATCCAACTGCTGTTTACAAACCTTTCAACTAAACCTCAATTTCTTTTAGTAATATCCTTTACCTAACTGAGAATGGTCCGGTACTCCCAATAGACATACCAATCGACAAACCAACTGGACTTCAGAGATGAATTGCTTAAGACATATAGAAAATTTCTATGAAACAACAGCTGTTGCCAAAAACAACTTTTTTTCAAGAATTATTACCCAAGCACTAACGGAAAAATGTAATGACCGCTGGTCCAACTGTAGAGACAGTATGCTTCGTGCTGGTCCAGAAGAATTAGTGCCTACAAAACCCATTCTCAGATGAGGACTTAAGATAATAACTCATAAGGTGAAGCGGTATGCTCCTTATCACCTGAATCAGGAGGCCTTGCATTCTCATCAGCTGAAGTAGATGCACCACCTGAAGATGCTGAGGGCTGGGTAGATGTGGTTGAGGACATTCCTTCAACAGAGAAATCAGGATCCTGCATCCAAATGCAGCAGATAAACCATCATAGAACCATGTTATGCGTATGAAAGAGTGTCAATTAAACACTAAATGCCAATCAGCCGGTCACCATCGTTCAGCAAATTATCAGACAATATGGCAAGTTAATCATTGTTAAACAGCCATCTTAGCATTTAAACAACATTTAAATGGGCTAAACAGATGTTTAGGCCTACAATGATATCAAATACAGATATATCACCAAAACGAGGTAGACAAAATATATTAAGTTATTCATGACAACTGTTCAGTAATCCCATGCTACAAAGTTTTGTTGAAGGGAAAAAATGTTGATACACACTCCTAAACAAATGAGCAGAAGTCACCAAATCAAACTGTTGCTGACTCAGCCTGTAAATCAACCAATGAGGCTCAATATAGAGCTCGAGAGAGAGCAGTATCAGGTACTCTGCTCTGTTGCTGAAATCTTTCCTGAATCAACAGCTGACTGAATTATCAAGACGACATTCAGTCATATTTCATCAGATAAGTACAAGATGAACAGATGATTTCAACAGTCCATAGCAAGATTGTACAGTACCAGAGTAACATGCGGAGCTAACCGAATGTCTGGACCAGTTACAAGGAACAGGTGCCAAACTAAAACAGAACCGGAAAAAAACATTTATTGAATGTCTGCAGTGGTGTCACCTGCTACAGTTGAGCAGAGAGCATATGTCCCAGAACAAACTTGACCAGAGAGGATGACTATGAAAGATACCCATAACGAGGCAAGAATACGGCAAATTTCTTAAAGAAATGAGACGAACGGGAGCTTTATTTCCCCCGTCCTTCCTATGAAGTGAAAGATGAATGGGCTCCCAGGCCACAAGCTTGGAACTGGACAAGGAGGACGGGGCATCGCCACAACCACAAACCCACAACAAAACGAGAGCATGATGCCTGCCCGACCAATTTCCTCTGAAACTAAGCCTACCTCAGCCTTGCGGGCTTGTAGCACTCGATCTTACACTCTCGCTCGAGATCCCCATCTTTGTTGCAGAAAAAATATGGCCAAAGAAACTCAGGCTCATGCGGCGGCAGTGGGAGCTGCGGCGGCATTTGTGCGCAATGCGGGGAGCCAAATCAGATTTGGGGATTTGCACCAGCCAAATACAAATAAGCCATACAGAAGCGCGGAAGGGAGATAAGCAGCAAACCTTGCGTAAAATAATTTCCGGCCTGCCACTGTAGGACAGAGAGCGCCAATCGCAGCTTCCGATGCAGGCCAGGCAAGGAGAGAGAGAGAAAGAGAGCCCTCTCCTCGAATCTAGACTTGGCAAGACTCCGAAGCAAAGGCGCAGCACGGGGACAGAGGAAGACGACTGACCCCTCCCTGTCTCCCCCCTTCCCTCCCCTCCCCTCCCCTCCTCGCCTACTATCTCAATTCCGCGTCTGAAATTTCCTTGGCAACAGTTGGGCCTCTTCGCTGGTCTGGTTGACGCAGTGGTTTGGATTGATGCTGGTTTTTTTTTTAGAAAAATACTGTTGCCTGACTGATTTGAACGGGCTGAAATCGACAAACCACAGGCTGAGTGTCCGTTTATTATTCGTTTGTGATGGCCAAGTAGCCCCCCACAGGCCACAGGCCACTTTTCTTTTTACGGAATTAAATAAAAATAATTTTTATATAAAAATTATAGATCTGATCTTTAGTTTTAAGTTTTTTCATTTAAAGTTGTTAAGATACTAAAAAAAATTAATAACATAATTAAGTTTAAAGGTATTTTCAACTTTTCATTTTTTCAGGACATACTAGGACATACGTAGCATTAAGATCTTTTTTTTTTAATGACGCTAAAGGAATTCCCCCTGTCATCATCCGAAAGCAACAGCAGCGCCGGGGGAGCCCATTATTACGGACAGTTCAGGGGGTGGGATCGCAAAATGGATGGTTTCAACCATTGCTCCCAGATTCCTCTTTATTTTTGCTTTTTTTTGTGGTGGAAAAGAAACGAAGGGAATTCGAGCGGCCGAGCGGGACGGAGCGACGAAAGCAACCGCGCCAGATGCCCAGATCTCGAAAATCCCCGGGCGAGTGCAGCAGTGCAGGCGCTCGGGCAGTGCGACGCTGACGGAACTGCCGGCACACAAGCACGCCCTATCCGAAATGCAGATCGCAAGCTACTGGGGGAGCACAGAGACGAGAGAACTGCGGCGTGGTGGAGTGGAGTAGTACGTACGACGAAGCGGCGGTAGAACTTTTGCTGGAGCTGCGCGCGGACGTAGGGGTGGGAGAAGAGGTGCGGCAGCACGGCGGAGCTCGCGCGGTACTCGGCCCACCGCGGATCGCGCTCGTAGTCGTACGCCGCCGCGGCGCCCGTGGATGGCCAGGACGACGAAGACGCGTCGCCCATCCGCTCCCAAGCCCCAAGTCGGTCCCGGGCACTCGGGCAGCCCGCTAGGGGAATGATGCGGCCTGCGGCGAATTTTTGTGTGCGCCGCCCGGGAGCCGCGCCCCTCGAGCTGCCCATATTGTGCAGGCAATAATCTCTTTCTGTCCCATTTTAATTCTATATAAAAAATCCTTTTCTAATACTCCAGCATTTATTAACGTCTGTTTATTTATTTACTTAGAGTTTAATTAATTTCAATAATCCATCCAGCTCTTTTTTTTCTCCTGCCATCTTCACATTCACCTAGCCATCATGGCTTTTTTCTCTCCGATGAGCTTTATTTAACATGATATATGGCCCAACGGATCAAAAGACGATGTCGCAGAACCTTGGTAGACTTTAAATACTGACTTTTTTCGACGATTCCGGTTGACTGTAGATGAATTTTGACATCAAACCAAAACTATTGGCTACATTATGAAATTATCTTCCCATACATATATGGGTTCGAAAACAGAGTCCGTATACATCCTATGCATCGAAACTTGAGTTGGACTATGCCTCCACCATGAATTGGATGACTTGATGGCTATGTTGGTCGTGTTCGTCTCCATGACTTGTATCTAAATGAGTGATGTCCTCATCACCCTTAATGGGCTCAAACATGATACACGACCCAACGGACCAAAAGTCTGTGTGGCAACACATTGACGAATTCTAGACGCAGATTTATTTCGACGATCGACTCCGATGGAATTTTGAGGTGGGAATAGTGGCCTACATTATATCTTGGATGCCCATACTGGGCCGCTTTGTCTTCAAGGCTTGTATCCAAATGAGTGATTTCCTTATCGGGTTAAGGCATGGAGATATTATTGCCGCTAAGCTGATTTGCAAGTTCAATCGAATAAAAACTAGGTGAAAAGAGGAGGCGTGTGGGAGAGGACCGAGGGGAGCAGTGTAAGCAGAAGATGGAGACACGCAATATGAGATGTGCATGGGAGAAGGGAGGCGCGCACAGTGGGATTTACATGCGTGGCGTGGATAGTGAGCGTATGCCGTTGAAGAAAGATTACTTTCAAAATTGATGGAAGAGAGGAGAGGGAAAAAAAAAGAAAATGTGATAGCCACGTTGTTAGAACAACTACAAAGGTCTCTTTGTATAATTTCTAATTCATAGGAATAGAGATTTGGATAAAAAAACCTTCAACAAGCTCTTTAATTAGATATCTAAATATAGACATCAACCATGGCGGATTTCTCATTAGTTAAAAATAGAGAGCGAGAATAACTCTCTAGAGTGTACATAAGATATAGAAGTATTGTTGAAGAGTGCAAAGATTAAAAAAAATATTTTTACTTAAATAACTTGATAATAATTTTTAGTTTAATTTTTTTTAAACTCTTGGACATGTTCTTTGACGGGTTTTTTTACGACAATCGGCATAATAGAGACGTACACAAAGTCTCTTAAGAGATACACTAACTCTTTTTTTTTATCAGGCTATAAAATGCACTTGCTATTGCTATAGTGGTCTTCAGCTGGTTCGGTGACTGATTGAAGTGCTTTACACGGCTGTTCGTGGAAAAAGAGGCACACGACCTACACAGTGTTTCGTGTTTGTTTGGTTTATAAGGTGGTTGATACTGTTTTGTTGTGAGAGAAAAACACTGTATCATAACTGATAAGTATGGCTGATACGATCAAACGAATAGAGTGCTAGTCAGCAGGTCAACCAGTCAACACCCATTAACCACCTTTGTAATGCAAACACAAGACAATCAACTCCACTAATAACTGCGATAGCGAGTGATCGAACACCAACTCTCGTTAAAACGACTCCGCACACGTTGACGAATCAGGGTCTCCCTTTCGTCACTAGTGCAAGTGCATTCAACAATCCTCAGACTCCACGCAAAAAGCTTAATCGGAGAGCCACGGAGATCATCAGCTCCGCAGAGGTGCTGCTACGCGCAAATGGCATCGCCAACGAACGGAGCGCTTGAACGGTACAAGAGCGCCATCACGACCGCCACGTCCGTCGTGGGCGCGGCCATGCTGCTGCGCCGGCTCGTCGCCGACGTCCTACCGGCCGGCACGCCTCCGCTGGTGGGCGCTTTGCTCCTCCTGCCGCCGCCTTCCGCCCGGCGCCACGCCGTGGTCATCGAGGAGTTCGACGGCGCCTTCTACAACCGCGTCTTCCTCGCGGCGAGGGCGTACGTCTCCACGCTCCTCGCCGCGGCGCCGACCGGCGCGCCGCCCGTGGTGAAGGCGAGCCTGCCGCGCGGCGCCGCCGGTGCGGAGCAGATCACGCTCGCCATGCGCCCCGGCACGGCCGTCGTCGACGTGTTCCGCGGCGCTGAGGTCACGTGGCGCCTGAGCAGTCACGGCAGCAGCGGGCGCCGGCGGGCGGACGGCGCCGGCGGCGCGGGCGAGGCGTTCAGGCTCAGCTTCGACGGGAAGCACAAGGACCTGGTGCTCGGCGCGTACCTGCCGTTCGTCATGGCCCGTGTCGAGGCCATGGCGCGGGACCGGAGGCAGGCCAAGCTGTACAGCAACGAGTGGGCGATGTGGCGGCCCGTCAGGCTCCGCAACGCGTCCACGTTCGCGACGCTGGCCATGGACGCGGCGCTGCGGCAGGACGTGCTGGACGACCTGGACAGGTTCCTGGGCCAGAGGGAGTACTACGAGCGCACGGGGAGGGCGTGGAAGCGAGGCTACCTCATCCACGGGCCGCCCGGGACCGGCAAGTCCAGCCTCGTGGCCGCGATCTCCAACCACCTCCACTTCGACGTGTATGACCTCGACCTCGGCGCCGTCCGGTCCAACACCGAGCTCAGGAAACTGCTGATCCGGATGAAGAACAGGTCCATACTGCTGATCGAAGATGTCGACTGCGCGTCGGTAACAGTGCAGAGGAGAGAAGCCGACGGAGGCTCCGATGCGAGAAGCCAGCAGGCTCCCAAGCATCACAAGGTGAGTCAATCTGAATTCCAAGCACCCAGAAACGATAGTTTTCGCAATTTGCAATCAACGAAACAAATGTTTGCTCCAGTCTTTCACAACTAGCACGATAACACATTGTTTTTTTTCCCGATAGCACATTGTTTTTTTAGAAAACAAAAATTCTAAGTAGAAAAGGATGCAGATAGGAGGCAAGAGCTTATTTTAAGACAGAACTTTGTTTGAAAGATATAGTTTAATAAGATAAAGCCAAACTTTCTGCAAAACACTAAAACCTGTGGGCTGTGGTCCGCTCGCATGTGTCGCTTGACTTTATGAAAGAAATAAGTATGACAATTTGCACTAGGCACGCGCGGCCCTGTTCGGTGTTCGCTTCGCTGAAATTTGGCTTATGCTGATTTGTTGTGAGAGAAAAACATGGTTATTTTGCTGAAAAGTATTGTACAATCCACTTGAATGTCCACTACTACTCCACGCTCTGGAAAAAAATACAAATCTCATTTCTAAGAAGTCAAATAATTGTAAATTTAACTAAAAACATGGAGAGAAAAACTAACACTTAACAATATCAAATAAATATAATTAGATTATCAATAATATATACTTTTATAATAAAATTATTTAGCGATATAATTATTAATATTACTTTTTATAAACTTAATTAATTAAACTTGACTTGATTCAAGTTTAGAATTGTATTTTAGGATAGTTAGAGTAAGATGATTATAGGAGTAGAAGTGTAGAACAACGGGGACTGCACTATGGACACGTTTGGATTGGGACCGAAAAATGCCGTGCCAAATCCCGGCATCTTGGCCAAAACCCGGCACAGAATTTGGCCCGGCCAAATATCGGCCAACATTGCTCCATCCACTATCAACGGATAAAATTTGGCTTGGTTACTATCGGTCATCAATCAACCAAACACGCCTCCAGGAAGCAATTGTGGAGTCGCTTATCTACCGTGCGTTGCCTTGCCAACAATGACGTGTGCCGCATGATACAGGCCACCCTGTCCGGACTACTCAACATGGTGGACGGGCTCTGGTCGAGCAGCGGGCACGAGCGCATCCTCATCTTCACCACCAACCACGTGGACCGGCTGGACCCGGCGCTGATCCGGCCGGGGCGGATGGACAAGCACATCCACATGGGCTACTGCGGCTTCGGCGCGTTCAAGGAGCTCACGGCCATCTACCACGGCGTCGACGGCCACCTCCTGTTCCCGGAGATCGAAGCGCTGCTGCGGGAGGTGGCCGTGGCGCCCGCGGAGCTTGCGGAGAAGCTGCTGGCGACGGACGACGCCGACGCCGCGCTCGAGACGGCCGCGAAGCTGCTCAGAGATAGGAAGGCGGGGGTCGAGGAGGAGGCCGGCGGCGGGTACGTCAAACAGAAGCTGCATGTGGAGGCGACCCGCCCCCGCCGCCGGCTAGTGCCGGCGCCGGCGCCTGGGCGGGGCGTTAGTGCTGCGAGACGGGTGGGGGTGTCTGGCCGAAGTGGAATGCGCGGACGGGGAAGGGGACGGCCATAGGACACAGCGCCTCAGCCTAGGTGCCAGTGCTAAGTGGAAGAAAAACGTTAAAATGGTTGTGCTTAAAGTCTCGTGAGTGTCATACTAGCATGTCAGCATATATATTTTTTGTATGGATAAATAACACCGACACGTTTGAATAGGACCCATTTCATCTTGTTTTCTTTTGGGGGGAAGGATCAACTCACACGAATGAACATATGAATTTTAATTTAGCGTTAGAGCTTTGACTTTGAGTTAGGGTGTTACGGCGGTCCCGATTCTAAAACTATGAGATAACTTTTATATCTATAGACATTACACATAAAAAATATATTTCTAATGGATAGTTTTTTAATTTTTTTTGTCTAATCATATGTCTTATCTCTCCATTATCTACTTGTCACATCGCTTTATATCTTGCTTTCCATGTAGACATAGTTTTTGTCTAAAACCTATTTTTATAATATCTCTTCTTTAATTGTAATACCACATTACCATTTTGCTGATTTGGCACCTTAATAATTAATAATATAAAAACTATCCTCATTTCTAAGTTAGGAGTGTCCTTAAGGGGGCGGAGAGGAGAGCGTCTCCTTGAACTCACGGCCGCGTAGATTTTACTGTAGCTCAACAATGATACTCACGGCATCATGGTCCATCAAATTCAGATTATTGTTCTTTTTTTTTTGTCTAAGTTAAACTTTTCTAGTTTTGATAAGATGCTACTAAAATTATCAAATATATAGATTAAAAGCATGCAAATGCGCTATCATGACATTTCCCATAAAGATAAAAACTAATTTGATGTTATAAATGTTTGTGTATTTTTATAAAGTTAATCAAATTTAGAGAGATTTAACTTAAGATAAAGTTAGAGTGAATTATAATTTGAAATGAAGTGAGTGTGAAAGATGAATGAAGTCCCTCCGTCACAACTGGTGGGCACTTTCCGTATGTAACCCATGTACTAAACAATGTATTTGATAAATTAATTAAGATGCATCTCGTTAATAAGTAGCACCGACAATATGATATGCAATGGGAGTCGATGTTTAGATTAGAATAGGCATCTTGGAATAATATGCTGCACAAATTGCAAAGTACCATGCGTTTGTGGATAAAGCTTTTGGCCGAAAGCAAGCATGAAAACAGATGCACTCGTAGTATTTTTAAAGAAAAAAGCGGGCTTGTCCGACAAGCTGCCAATCCAGCCTAGCTCGGCCGGTAATACACCCGGCCAGCGGGCCAGGCCAGCCCATCCAACCCAACCTGGCACGGGCTGTAGTGCCTGTTCAGCACGTTGTTCGGTTTCTTCAACGTTTTTCAAAGACTCGTTCGTGGTCTGTCACGCCACACGACCCAGCCACATGATTTGAAATCACTCTGGACCCGACGTGTGGCGCGGCCGCACGTATCCGCTCCCGGTCTGGGATGGGTCATGGGACTATGGCCCCACTTACAGAGCTGGATGCGGACGGCAATCGTCCACCGCCGCATCCTATGGCCAGCTAATTTCTCGCAGGCCACGAACATGGGCAGCCAGCTCTAGAACCTGCAAGATTCTCATCCTGTCGACGCCGCAGCTACACCGGCGGATTTTGGCAGCATGCCCCCTTCCACCAACCATTCTCGCCCATACGGAGCAGCAGAATTTCATGGCAAGTAGGCAAACATCCCTTCCATTCGAGTTTGGTGCATCAATCCAGTTTGTTTTTTTCCCCAAGAAGAATTGGTACACGAATTTACGAGAGAACAGAGAATCGAAACGCAATTTCGTGTGCTGGTGGTGCACAGGGCCATTCACGGTCTTCTGCCTGGATGCCACGTGTTCACTGCCGCTGTGAGCAAAGCATACGTGTGCTGCTACCATTTGCCGCCCAGGGCAATTTCAACCAGACAAAGATCGGCAGGGCTTTTTTGAACGAAAACCCAAGCAGCGCCGAAAGCCCCGCCCGCCCCAGTTTGGCCGTCGTGCAGGGACAGGAAGGATGCGGATGCCGGAAGCAACACAAAACTTTGAATCGCCATCTGTTGTGCTCGCACCTCGCCGCGCTCCCAAGTGCCCCCACGCGTGACGCGTCCCACGTCGTGCACGCACTCGCGCTCCTCAGTGCTCACACGTCACACGACTCCGCCGCCTCCCCCTATTTAGGCCCGCCCCACCGCCTCACGAGCACGCCCCCGTCGACTCGCCCGCTTGCCCCCGCTCCGTCGCTCCCTTCCACGCACCCGCGCCCGGCCCAAAGCCAATTCGAATCTCCCCGCTGCGCGGCCGCGGCGGGGCCTCTGCTTCGCATTCGCAATGCGGGCCTCCGTCGAGGAGGCGGGCGCGCTCCTGGCGCGGAGCGACTCGGCCGGCCGCCGCCGCCGCTCCTCGTCGCCCGTGCAGACCGCGCCCCCGAGGCCCGGTAGCCTGAGGCGCCAGTCGTCGTCGTTCCGGGAGGACGTGGGGCACGCCGCCTCCGAGACTTACCTCGTCTCGCGCCTCACCTTCACCCTCCTCCAGTACCTCGGGTAATCCGGACTTCCTCACTAGCTCTCGTCCAGTGGTCGTCCTCGCCTCGATGAATTCCAAGCGCTTAGTCCATCTCGTCTATCAACCTTGACGAAGCAGTTGATTAGCTAGTCACCGGCGTGCGACGGGCTGCACGATGCTAGGCCGCGCTGCGCGCGATGGACTCGATGCTCTGGAGGGACGGCCGAGTGAACTTGCTATTTTAGTGAATTCGCTTACGGTTGGTGGCTCTACACTTCTACTACAGTACTCATACGCGGTTGCGTCGAGAAGGCAGCTTTGACGCAGATGCAAAATGGGGTTTAATTGATAAGAACGGCTGAAAGGATGATGCAATTGCCGATTGCGTATGGAACTTTCTCGACAAGGGTGGATGGGAGAGTCTTGTTGGGTCTAAAGCTGGGTGCACACGGGTGCAGACTGCAGAGTGCTCCACGATTCTGGGTTTCATTTGCGTGCAGACTTTTTATGCTGCTGAGTAGCACACCTCGTCTCTGTTTCCGTTCTGTTCTGAAAACTTTGTGAAAAGGATGTGCATGCTGATGCAGTCATGCTAGTGTACAGTTGATTGGTCATGTGCAGCCCACTTGCTTTTGACTTAACAGCTAAGCAACCAATCATTATTGATTTTATATTTGATTAATGAGGTCAATGAGGTAGGCATGTTCGTGATTACCTTAATCTGGCTGCTGAATTTCGTGATGTAATAATACCAATTTCTTTCTTTGGAGACTGAGCTCTACATCTTGTTTAGAAAATTACATCTGTTGACTATTGCAATTAAACACATGATAGAGGGTCTCAGAACTCACAAATACACTTTCGTAGAAACATGTGCAAAGTCTTAAGGTACTAATAAGAGCGTACAGAGCCATTATAGAAGTACGCAAGGTTCAGCATTGAAAGTGACAACACTATACAGGCCTTGTATTTTCTAGTCTTTTCGATGTCATGTGCACTGTAGTAGTGTCATTCTCTGTGTATTGGAAAACTTCGTATTCATCTAGATATAATACATCACCAGTGTTCTCCATTTTGTCTGAATGCTTTGATAAATAACATTACTGTTGGTGTTTTTGATATTCCTTCTGATTTTTACTATTATATTCAGGTTAGGTTACCGATGGATGTCACAACTCCTTTCACTCACAATCTATGCAATTTTACTTATGCCAGGATTCCTACAAGGTATATTGAAGCCTACCTGTTAACAGAGTATGATCTGTTGTGTTAATATATACGTTTGAGTTTGTCTTGAAAGGACCTTATGGTTATGACTCCTTTCACAGGAATATGATATCTTTTCTAATTTCTGAAACATCTTTTCTTGGTTTACAGTTGGATATTACTATTTCTTTTCGAGCCAGGTTCGTAGAAGTGTAGTCTATGGAGACCAACCCAGAAACAGGTAACATCAGTTGGGAAGGCCACATAGCTGGAAACACAGCTAGTATTTCCTATACATGGTCGAATAATGTGATGAGTATTAAACTAGACAGGTTGGATCTATACATACCAGAAGATAATAGTAGGCCCTGCCCAGTGATGGCCTTTGTAACTGGTGGAGCATGGATTATTGGGTTAGTATTGATGATTCTGGAAAAGAAAGAATACTGCAGTAATACTTGGTGACTATCTTTATTGATGAATTTGTTTACTTATAGTTACAAGGCATGGGGTGCTCTTCTAGGACGACGATTGGCAGAGCGAGGAATAATAGTTGCTTGCATTGATTACAGGTGCTAGTTGTTTGAGTTTTACTGCTATGTTTTTTATTACTTATGAGGGATTATGGAGTCTTTTTGTATCTCGTTTGCTTGACATAACAATCAAATATTCCTTTCAGAAATTTCCCACAAGGTACAATAGGCGACATGGTTCATGATGCTTCTCAGGGTATTTCTTTTGTGTGCAACAACATCGCCAGCTATGGAGGAGATCCTAATCAGTAAGCGAGCGACTTTTTAATTTCTCTAGTTAACTTAGCATGGAAATTTGCATAATTTCATGTTAAGAGCTATCATGTCAGTGTATGTTTTCTCAAACAATGCAGGAGAGCTGCATGTCATTTCATTAAGATGAAAAAAACTACAAGGAGAGGCCAGCGGGCCAGCTCCCATCATGTTAGTGTTTGTGACTTGTGGTTTACACTTTATAGCTGCTAAAGGCTATCAATTTAAGTCATAGTTGCTAAAAGAATTGATGAGTCAGTCACTGGGGAGGAAAGTTGACCTAGTCTGTTGTTTGCTTCATTGCCATTGGACGTTCTCATAGAACCTTACCCATTCTATTTTCTCCAGCTTTAAGTAGCAGAAATATTTGCTTATCCTTGTGCATTCTGTTAATGATGAATCTTTATATCCTTTGGTTTTCAGTACTGGTGAACTTTGGTTATATTTGAATGCAAAATCCGGTTCCATTTTAACACTTAATAACTTGAGTAGAATTAATGAATTTGTAGGATCTACTTGATGGGTCAGTCAGCAGGTGCACATATTGCTGCCTGTGCCCTCATGGAGCAAGCAGTAAAAGAATCTGGTGGCCATCCTGTTTCTTGGAGTGTTACCCAAATCAAAGCATACTTCGGTTTATCTGGAGGGTGAGATCTTAGGTTCCGTCATTCATTAGCCTTCTATTGCACGAATATTTTGAGTCCTGTAGATTGATGAGCTAATACAACGCGCATGGCTTCAGGCAGCTGAGCTCCGTTTAAGCTATCCTGAATTTTTAGGATCATGCCTTTTGAACTTAAAATCTGTAGCCAAAAGATAAGATATCATATTGTCCTCAACATATGAGTATCAACTGCAGAAGGTGTTGTTTGCACCAAGTGCCGCTGGGGAAACATGTAATTGCCCATTTTGAGTCTTCAAATGTGAATGCACTGAAAATCTTGTCTGTTTACTTGTGATGTGATATAGATGTAACCTATCCAATAATGAACTTTCCTAAAATATGAAACGAAGCTAATGATCTTCATCACTGCATTGCATCTGGATGACTTGGATTTATCAGTAAAAGCGTTTTCTTGCAGATACAACATACATAATTTGGTTGACCATTTCCACGAGCGTGGTCTTTATCGCTCAATATTCCTCAGGTATTAAATTGAGTATCTAATGAAGTGGCATCTAGTAACGATTAGATATAACAGTAAGGATTAAGGAAGAATTTGAACTACAATTTCAGCATAATGGAAGGAGAGGAATCATTGTCACGATATTCTCCTGAAATTGTTGCCAAGACGTCAAGTGCTGAAACCGTAGCTCTTCTGCCTCTTATTGTTCTTATGCATGGAACTGGAGATTATTCAATACCATCATCTGCCAGGTTTGTTCATATTCCTTTTCTAGATGTTTGTTTTGGTGAAAGGGCAAAAATAAAGTAAACCTGTAGTTTTGGTTGACATGATTTCTCTATGTTCTATAGATGTTTGTTTAGGTGAAGGGCAAAAATCAAGTGAACCTAGAGTTTTGGTTGACATGATTTCTCTATGCTTGTCATGTTGTCATGTTGAAAGGTTTCCCTATGACGGTCGAAATCCATTAGCCCTTGAATTTGACAAAAGCAACTTTCCTACAGCTGCTTAACTCATTGGATGCTGATCTGAATTAAAAATTTATTGGCTATTGAAATGATACAAACCAGTTCAATAGAATTTACTAGATGGATTCATGAAGCCATGCACCAAGCTGAGGAGGATTAAAGTACGGTTTTAAGGTGTCTAAAGATTCCTGCTACTGTGGTGCTCCTTCGTTGTAATAATGAATGGCTGTGTGCAAAACTCTTGCAGAGGCCGGAATATAATTTATTCCTTTTTCTAAAAAATGTGGTGCTCCTTCAACCCTCCGCCTTTTACAAATTTACCATTTCTTTTCCTGTATTAAGATATTCCTTGAACACCAACACTGTGTGTAAACTGTATATACAGGCTGGAAGGTTGATAGACATAATTTTCAGCTTTTCTGGTTAAAAAAACTAAACAAAAATTTCCCACAACACTTCGAGGTGAAATCCCTTTGTCCTTCTAAACTCCGGAATAAATACTGGTAAACTGAAGCATTGCTTGATTAGAATGTCGATTGCCAAGTTTTACGAGAATATTGTCTTCTCCTCAGATGTAAAATCAACGGTCAAATTTTTTGAGCAAAACCATTACAATGAGATTGCTTGCTATACTTGCTAATCTTCTGTGATCAACTGGGACTTCCCTTTGTGTATATTTCTCTGCTTCTACTGTAGATTGATATTTTTTTGGATGGATGATCTGTTGATTGACCCATCATGTAACAAATACAGCCTTCTCAATTTCATGTTACGAGCTACTCTATCTTCCATGCGCAGTCAAACTTTTGCTGACGTCCTGCAACAAGTTGGTGCTCAAGCAAGGTTACTATTGTACGAAGGGAAAACACATACAGATATCTTTGTACAGGTTTCATGTCTTGAACTTCTATAGAGAATTAATTTTCCACATGTTTCTAACTTTTCAAGCTCTGTTAATACTTGATAGTATGTAGACGTACAGTAAATTTGATAACACTGTTACTTGTTGATACATAAATTTTTGCAAATTGGATTGGTTCCTTTTATTTTACTAAGTTTGGTGGACATCTACATCTGAGGGTTGTTTATGGATGTTGGGGTTTACAAGCATTTCTCTAGTTCTTGCTTCTTGATTGGGGCAAAATATATCTTACCCCTGATTTTGTAGAAGGCCTGGATTCTTCTATTTGGGAAGAAAGTAGTCATCGCTGTCTAAATTATTAATAATTGGCTTGTCATCACTTACGAAAAAAACTTTTCTTGTGATGCTGTTGGATTAAAATAAAAAGTTTAACACTTACTGATGCAGCTCATAGTGTATCTTTTTGGTTAACCAACTCATGACTAATTTTTGGCTAAATCACATAGGCCATTGTTTCATGAAAAAAATGTGCTTGTAAAGTTAAAGGGAAACTTGATATGCCATAGAATGCCACTGGTTTCTTTTCAGTTTCTAACCAAGTTATTCTTGGGTGTTACTGAGAAACCTGGTTGTGACTGCAATTTGGGACTTATGTTTGATGGATGTCAGAACTTGCTCCAGAGATATGCATGTATCGATCTTATTGCCATGTTTTATACTGTTTTATATTAAGATGAAAACTTTATGGTGTGTTTCCTTGAACTTCCTTTAATTAGTGTGGTCAGAACTAACGCAACTACCTGAACATCACTGCAGAATGTATTCTATTATGGTTTGCTAGAGTATCTCACTCAACTTTGCATTATTATAACTTGTTTCTTCATTTTTTCCCCATAGGACCCTCTTAGGGGTGGAAGAGATCCATTGGTTGAAGACGTGTTGTCTATTATTCATGCTGATGATGCAATTGCACGTCAAAAGATTGCTTCAGCACCAACTCCAAAGAGATTAGTTTTTGAGTGGCAATTAAAGTTGGCCCGCCAAATTAGTCCATTCTAGCAGGTAGTGCTGTCCACACCTTAGTCTTTTTCCGTATGCTCTGTCTCCTTTACAAACATTTTTGATAGTTTGGTTTGTCCAAAAAAGTTTTGCAAATTAGGTTAGGTTAGTAAAGCACTTGGAGTGTTTGGTTTCTCATCAGTAGACGAATCCCAGACTAATATTTTATCCTTCTCCCATTATTTCAGTAAGCTATTGCTGCATAGAAAAGCATCAATCTAAAATTCTAAATGCTTTGAACCACATACATATGTAGAGCATAAAGATGAGGATTTAGATGAATTTCCTCATTGAGTAATATGTATACCCGGAGAAAGATTTAGTTTGCATATTAGTGAGACCTTTTCTTTTTCAAAACGTTTTAGGTACGGATCATTTCAAATTCGTCTGTATGGAAAATATCTAGCATGAAGCATGGAGAAGCTTGGATCTGTGGATTTTGCACCTCCGTGAGGAAAGGGTGCTTGGGGAGCCGTTGAGCTAGATTGGATCAGGCAAGCAAATAATTCTCGTGTCTTCTTTACTTGCACAATGTTGGTCTATGTGAAACTGGTGGCTGGTACGCAGTACGAGAGGAAGAAGCTACATACTAACATACACGACTGGAAATGGAAACCACATCATCTTTTTTTTTTTGAAGCTGTATAAAATGTTGTATATTGTATTGCACAAAGGCTTGTAATACGTTTTCTGCGCCTCGTTCCAAAATGTAAGTCATTTTAATTTTAGCCTAAATCAAACTCTTGACTTAAGTTTATAGAAGAATTTGTTGACATCTATAATAGCAGAATGCACTATAAAAAACCAATATATAATTCGTTTCAAAATGCAAGTTATTTTAGTTTTCACCTAACTTTGATCAAGTTTATAATAGATTTTGTTAACATCTAATACTAAAATGCACTCTCAAGAAACATTGCATGGAAGATTCAGATTTAATGAAACTATTTTTTTAATCAAAGTACACTCACTCTTATGAACATACTATTAAATTTCCTACAACTAAAAAAAACAAAAGCGTGGATATTTTTTGGTGCGACATTTGTTTTTGTTCGTCCGTCTGCCCACGACCGTGCGATACCTCGCTCGATTCGTCGCTCTGCCTTCGCCCGTGCGAAAAAAACACATGTGCTCTATGCTCCGCGCCGCCTCTCCCTCCCTCCTCTCGCGATATCCCTCGCGTCATTGTCCGCCTCCATCCCGCAACCCTGCACCTGGCCGCCCGTGCCCTCCCTCTCGCATTCTCACATCTACCTCCTCCGCAACCCTCCGCCGGCTCCGCGCTTCGCTGCATTCCCCCCCCCCTCGATCCTCTGTCGGGCGCCCGTGCTCCCTGTATCGGTTTTGGTAGGCGAGGGCTCAGATCTGGCGCCACCGGGACTGGATCCGGTGCCCTCGTGGCAGGATTTGTCAAGCCCCTGGCCGGATTTGGAGACGGCGTGTGATCTCCGCTTGCGGGCAGAGGAGCAGCGCAGAGGCAGCTGGATCCCTATGAGTTCCTCCGCTGCCACATCAGCCTGTGGGATGAATGAGCCGCTACTGCCGGAGTTCTCGGTTGGTAGCCATGGCTGTTGCGTGACCTCGGTCTCCGGCGCGGGGTGGGCCGTGGGCGGTCTCAGCTGCCGGTGGTGGCAAGTAGGGGGTGACGCATTCGGCCACGCCGGCGCTTCCATGCACCTCTGTCTCCAGCTTCCTCCTCATCATCGGTAAGCTAGCTACCTCTACGAACCTCATCATCATCTCCTTTGGATAGGTGGCAAGGATACGAGAGTCTCATCAGTGCGTTTCTGCACGCGGAAGAGCACTTTTTGAAGAAGACTAACTCTGGAGCCATCGGTATTTGACTCTAGAGACCTTATTGTTTGCTTCGTTTCACCGTCTGTCCACTCTTGAGTATTTGTTGTACCGTGACTAAATAAGTTCCTTTCCGGTGGCTATAGGCTGGGAAAGAATGTGTTACCGAAAACACATGAAGTTGGTTATTCCTGCACTGCTTAACAAGAACAACCAATAATCTCTTTGCTCAGTGCATTGATTGAAACAATCCCAAAATTTGTTAAGTAGCAGCAGCCATACATCCTTACTGAAGCCTGAACTTGATCATGGAAACTGTCAGTGATTTCCAAATCACTGCACAAGAAATAAATCGAACGTTTTCTTCTTCATATGCTAAATTGCAGGACATCTTTTTCTGCTCTTTTAGAGTATACAAAATGGTATTCATGAGCTAGCATCTGCCTGCACAGTTTTTATTCCTTAATAATATGATTTTAACACCTTCGAAAGCAATGACAGGGAGGGCTTAATATTCTTTTTTGTTGTGTGTTATGATTTTTTTCTTATATCTTAACTAGAATACATATAAAATAATCACGTCTTTGGTATCTGGTTTCCTTGGCATGAAGATTGCCACATGCGAATGCCAGAACTACCCTGGAAGCTAGGAAGGGTGTTGGCAAGGCTTTTATCACTGCCTTCCGCTCTGGCGCTGTTATGGGTTTCCTGCTTGCATCAAGTGGGCTTGTGGTTCTGTACATCACCATTAATGTATTTAAGTTGTATTACGGTGATGACTGGGAGGGTCTTTTTGAGTCCATTACTGGTTATGACCTTGGTGGGTCATCCATGGCTCTCTTCAGAAGAGTTGGTGGAGGCATCTACACAAAGGCTGCTGATGTTGGTGCCGATCTTGTTGGAAAGGTCACATTCCTGAGGATGATCCTAGGAACCCAGCTGTAAGTTTTCTTGACATATAGTGTTCAATTTAGGACAATTCTAGGAGCTATACAATCATTAATACATGGCATTTCCTTCCCTGAACTTTTAAATCTTATTTTGCAGGTGATTGCTGATAATGTCGGTGACAATGTTGGTGACATTGCTGGAATGGGATCTGATCTCTTTGGGTCATATGCTGAGTCTTCCTGTGTTGCCCTTGTTGTTGCGTCTATTTCATCTTTCGGAATCGACCATGATTTCACTGGGATGTGCTACCCACTCCTTGTTAGCTCTGTTGGTATCATCGTCTGCTTGATCACCACCCTTTTTGCTAATGATTTCTTTGAAGTCAAGGCTGTGAAGGAAATTGAGCCTGCACTTAAGAAGCAGCTAATCACCTCCACCGTCCTGATGACTGTTGGTATTGCTGTAATCAGCTGGTTGGCCCTTCCAGCTGTTCACCATCTACAACTTCGGTACTCAGAAGGAGGTCTCCAACTGGTATGCTTTTTTTTGTTAACCTTTGCCATTTATTTGTAGAATTGAATGTACCGTCTTGACAACTGCCATATCTTTCCAGGGGCTTGTTCTTCTGTGTTGCAATTGGTCTGTGGGCTGGTCTGATTATTGGTTTTGTCACAGAATACTACACTAGCAATGCATACAGGTTCGCATCCTACCAGTCGCTATTATGTTTTTCTTGTTATCATTTCTTTGTGATGGTGTTTTAATCCTAACATGTTTATTCTGTGGCAGTCCTGTGCAAGATGTCGCTGATTCATGCAGAACTGGTGCTGCCACTAATGTCATTTTTGGTCTCGCTCTTGGATACAAGTCGGTTATCATCCCGATTTTCGCTATCGCTATTAGCATCTATGTCAGTTTCTCCATTGCTGCAATGTACGGCATCGCAGTTGCCGCTCTTGGTATGCTGAGCACAATAGCAACTGGTCTTGCTATTGATGCTTATGGTCCCATCAGTGGCAATGCTGGTGGTATTGCTGAGATGGCTGGAATGAGCCACAGAATCCGTGAGAGAACTGATGCTCTTGATGCTGCTGGCAACACAACTGCTGCTATTGGAAAGGTAAAAATGCTTTTTATTCATTTGTTGGCTCAACTTGTTCATTTGCCACTGTCATTATTGGCACTGTTGGTAGGTTATGTATTCCTTAATATTTTAACATATGAGAATGTAGTAGTAGGTAGAAGATAGCAAAAGAAGTAAAGAACCATTGTACTCATTTGGTAACTTAATTCATCTGTATCCCTATGTAGTAGTAGTAGATAGTAATCTGCAACAAAAGAACAATTGTACTCCTCTGGTAACTTAATTCATCTGTATCTCTTTGCAGGGATTTGCCATTGGTTCAGCTGCTCTTGTGTCCCTGGCGCTTTTTGGCGCCTTCGTCAGCAGAGCTGGAGTGACGGTTGTCGATGTCCTCTCCCCGAAGGTTTTCATTGGTTTGATTGTTGGAGCCATGCTTCCCTACTGGTTCTCTGCCATGACCATGAAGAGTGTTGGAAGTGCCGCCCTGAAGATGGTGGAGGAGGTCCGCAGGCAGTTCAACACCATTCCTGGGATAATGGAGGGAACTGCCAAGCCCGACTATGCAACCTGTGTGAAGATCTCCACTGATGCTTCCATCAAGGAGATGATTCCCCCAGGTGCTCTGGTCATGCTCACTCCCCTCATTGTTGGAACCCTCTTCGGTGTTGAGACTCTTTCTGGCGTTCTTGCTGGTGCCCTGGTTTCTGGAGTGCAGGTGCGCGCTTTGCCTTCTACTCTTTGTGCACTTCAATGTGTTTGCTTGTTCTACGGTTTATGGATTTATGCTTTTGACAGATTGCCATCTCTGCTTCCAACACCGGTGGTGCATGGGACAATGCCAAGAAGTACATTGAGGTGAATGTCCTGAAAAAGTCTCATTGAACACCATGTCTGTTCATCTATGGTCACTTGGTCAGTGCTAACTTTCTCCTCAATTTCACCCTCTGCTTGTTTCAGGCTGGTGCCAGCGAGCACGCGAGGACCCTTGGCCCCAAGGGATCTGACTGCCACAAGGCTGCTGTGATCGGTGACACCATTGGTGACCCCCTGAAGGACACCTCGGGCCCGTCCCTCAACATCCTCATCAAGCTCATGGCCGTGGAGTCCCTCGTGTTTGCCCCCTTCTTCGCCACCCAAGGTGGCATTCTGTTCAAGTATCTGTAAGGGCCACACCAAGCACAGCAGAAGTATACGATCAACCGACCGTGGACATCTCGAATAACTCCTGCCAAATCGTCAGTTCTTGTGTATTGTGCGCTAGCCGTCTAGCTGCACTGCTGTTTTTTGGTCTCATTGTTTCAGGATTGCTGCTGCTGTTCGTATTTTCTCTTTGGGCCTCCTGGAGGCGTTACTGTTAGCCTTACTCTTACTCCCTGTAGCTCCACGTAGAAGAGAACAGATGTCCTGCGTCTGGCAAATTTTCCCAGTCCCTTTGATGATGGCGATGATGTTGAAATCTTTGAACAATGATACATGATTGTTGCATTGTACTGGTGGTAACTCTGTATTGCTCTGTTGATGCCCATTCCAATCATCCAATGTTATGCTCTGCGTTATTGCGGAATACGAATGTTGTTTGTATATTGTCATGGCTGCTGCCGACAAGTTCATAAAAGAACCCAAGGCCCTGTTTGGATTGGAGTAATTTCAAAGGAATCTAATTCCTTTGTTTTGCTTGCATCACATAGTGTTTGGAACGGAGGAATGAAGTTTTCCTTTCTTATGGAAATACTTGCTTTTCATAAAATGGAGGAAATAAACATCCACTCCAAACTCTTGGAAATTTTTCCTACATGTGAATGGAGGGATGATAAGTCCTTGTTCAATAGAGTGGAGGAATAAACATATCTTATGCTCCCGTGTTCCAACCACCTGTTCCTATAAAATTCATGTGTTTTTCGATCCTTTATTTATTTTCAACGTACACACGTTTCATATTCTGTGTTTTATTCATTTTCTCTGTTTTGAATTCATCTTTTCCAAACAGACCTTGCAACTTGAAGTCAAATCAAATTCTTCTTTTTCTCGGTGCACCACAATATTCTGGAATTTCTTTGGTTCCAAGCAAAGTTCTTAGATGCTTTCCATTTTTGCTTTTGAAAAGTTGATACTTTCCTTGAACTCAGCAAATTTCGCAAATACCACTCTCAAATCTGTTTCACTGGCGTTTCCAACCATGAACTGAAAGACAATGGGAACGAGCCTTTCCCCTTCCCATCGTTGTTCATCATAATTTCTTCAACCTTCTACAATTCTAAGAATAAAAAGAAAACAAACTCACCCTTGAATTGCATCCCTTTTCTTTCGACAGATGCCTTGTACCTCATTTCACCTCATCTTACCAGATGGAAAGCTTAGCTGTCCATCATCACCAATCACGCCAAACCCATTATGAATCTACTACCCATCTAGCTACTACTCTAACTACATGCCGGACATTGAAATGTGAAATGCGAGCGAACACGATGGAGTACGGCGCCACAACGATGGGCTGTGCCGCATCCACCTTGACAGCCTCTAGTGTCGGGATGTTCCCCGCCACGTCGGTGGCCAACGCCCTGCCGTTCAGCAGCATGACCTGGCTCCTCAGGTTGCAATCCTTGGGGGTGAGATGGTACTCATCTCTCACGGCGCCGGCTGCCTCGTCGACGCCGGTGAAGCTGGGGCCGTGGACGTGCCGGAACTTCCTGCCGCCGACGTGCTTCCTTGCGCCATGCTTGTGCGCCGCCACCGTCCCTTGGGTCGTCACCGTCACTGAGACCTGGGTCGTCATGTTGCCGCTGAGGTTGATCAGCAGTAGAGTGATTCCTGGCTGGACGAGGAGGACGCACGCAGAGTAAAGATTGAGCGTGAATTCTTTAGGAGATGAAGGTTTTTTTGGCTGCCGATGTGATGTTGCTGATGAAATAGGTACTGAATTGCTTACTGAATCTCATCTCTTGCGCAGTGCGCATATGCGCGGATCTTGTTCGTGCCGCTGACTTGTCATTCCTCGTAGTCGAGAGCTGCATCATAAAATTATGTATAAATAAGAAAAGTGTCATCATTGATTGCTTTGATCTAAAAAATGTGTTGAAATTAAGAATTACAACACATAATTTAACATCTTGGAACATACACTCAAGTGGATACCTTATTCTACAATATATATATGTGTGGAATAGTCCTAAAGCCACACATATTTATACGGTCAGTATAACATACTTTGTTTTAAAATTTTATGAGAGAATTTTTAAGACATGCAGTATTATCCATATGACAGACACTAATATTTACATATATACTCGAACATGTGTGTACAGGATTATATGGAGATACAACGGAACTTATTCATGGATTTATTGGCTCATGAAAGAAATGGATATCGGAGAATTCTTTCTGCCGATATAAAATATTATCTTAGCCATATCACGAAAAAGTCTATACAGTAGAGTTTGTGAGCCTGCGACGCCGCGCTCTCCGTGACTATGTTAATTTCACGAACTTTGCTTTTTGAATTAAATGTCACTTTAACGTCGGTATTTAATTTAACAGTATTGTTATCTTATCGTGCGATCCATGTGTTTTTAGTACAAAAGATTTAGTTATCCCGTAGCAACGCACGGGCACGCTACCTAATATTTAAATAAATCTAGAAAAAAAATATGAGCGTCCATATCAAGTCGATGATTCGATGAGATACCATCATTAAAAAAATAACACTATTAAATCTTGGAATAAATTTAGAAAAATATGAGCATTCATATCAAGTTAAGGACTCTCGATGAGTAAGTTTCACCACAAGAAACCCAACCAACTGAGTACGCTTAGTTTGCTAATGAAATTAATTTGGTGGTATGATGTTGATACATTGTTTCATATTTTTTTGAAAGTTATAGAACATTGACTTTAAAGACAACTAAAATAACGTATATTTTACAACAAAAGAAGATAATGTATTAGAATATTTCTTTCGTCGATTGGACTAGCTTAAGACCAAGGTTTTAAAATAGCCCGTTATAACACTGCTATAGCTATTTTATAGGGTCTACCACTATGATAGTCAATTGTTCCGTTATTATCACTAATGATGCTATGGCTCCACTAAACACCGCTGTTTGGCTTAGCCATGAGACTGGTAATATTGACCAAGGTAAATATTCATTCCTAGCTCTTGATGACTATAATCTATGCATCTTTGTTGTGATCTTTAATTGATATAAATGGTGCATTGAACCACTCCCTCATTTTCAAAGTATATATCTAAGAGCATAGCAAAAGTTATGTATTAGAAAAGCCAAAACGTTTTACAATTCGAAATGGAGGGAGTATCAAATAATTTTTTGGATTGTTTGATTTTGAACGTTGAAGGAATATAAATGCTAATTATAGCCGTGAGTATATTGATTGTTTTAGCATGAATGTTTATTAGTGGGCCTAGAAATATATTATCCTTATATATGCATTTGAGTGTTTGTGTTTACAAAATTTTCTTAATGACATGTTTTCCCATATAATCAATAAAAAATCATGTCTTCTATAAAACTGCTAAATGAAATAGCTTTCACTATATTCTGCTGTAACTTTTTATAGCTTCTAGAAAGGCTACTGCTAAATGTTATAGTCTGTGATTTAAAACCTTGGTTAGCATAAGGCTTTCCTCCTCTTTCAAGGCATTTTTGCCATGCAGTCTGTGTGGAACTTGTAGATGGCATAGGATAAAGGAATGCATGAGGAGAAGCTACCTAATTTTAAGAATACCAAGAAGGCCATGTTTGGGACCGCGGTGTGCGGCCACGCGATACAGTAGCTGAACTTTGGCTCCGTGACCATGGTACCGGAACTCGACCGTGCAATTCATTCTCACGGTCCTACTCTCCTACGCAGTCATGAGAATTGCCGCTGCCGCAGAGCGTTTGACGTGATTCTCGTTGTCAGTGGCCTAGAATCCGCTTATAATTGGTTCTAAACAGGACCGAAGTTACACCTGTCTGAAAACCGCTTCCTTTTCTAGTTATCTTTGTTTATTTTCGGTTGCCGTATACCATTCTGTTTACATCTTCAACTCAACAAGGCTTAAGCACATAATATGATATTCTAAATCGTGTAAATCACTATGCTAGAACAAGGAGTTATGCTGGAAAATGACTATCATTAATATAACATCAAGTGGCAAAGGATGAAGAAGGCGATGACACAATTACAACGTCTTATTTGTAGTATTCATCAGAGGGACGCACACATCGTCACATGGAAGATACAAGAAAGGAAGGACTGGGTTCATAATTCATAACATAGCATGGAGACACTCATGCAAGAAGCTCCACTATGTCTCACACTGTCACTTTTTGGCTGCCGCCGGTTTGCTGCTCTTCACCTGCAGGTTTCATCATGCGAAGCACTTAAATCATCACGAAACAGATCACAATTCACAAGGTAACGGCAATCACAAGGATATATCGATATGAGTATGACGCATGGGTGCAGTGTTATAATACCTTCTTTTTGGTTTCCCGGGGCTTCTGCTCAGCCTTCTTAACGCCGCCGCTCTTCGCAGCTGACGGCTTCGTCGCCGTCTCGCTGAGCTTGGGTGCCGGCTCCTTGCCCTGTGCCGCAACTCCAGCGGGCTTCGAGGCCTTCAGGGAAGCCATTGTTGTTGTGCTACTTCTTACTCTGTCGCAACTAACACTGCTTGAAGCTTGATCTCACTTTGGACCTGATGGACTGGGGAGGCACGGGACGAGGTATTTATAGGCCGTTCAAGTGTGTGGCCGACCTCGCAGAATTCGGATCCAGCCCAGAATTATTGCAAGAATAAAGGCGCGATGAATTATTGCAGCTTGTTTAGTACTCTTCTACGTCGAAGCGAGTGATGGCACGGTGCAGCTGGGTGCCTCTTTTCTTCTGCAGAATTGGATGCCTCGGAGCTGGGATTGGGAGGACGCGAGTTGTTACCGCCGGACTTGAAACTTGTCCTATAGAAAAATGTTTCAGACATATTATTCGGGGAGTCTCGATTACGCACAGTGGTGCCAGGAATGTTCAAAAGAGAATAAGGTTAATAGAGAGTACATTAATATGCTTATCTCGTAAAGTGCGTTTTACCCGCAGCTAATCTCGTTTTTCATAGTAGCTGATGAAAGTCTGGGTTTCTACGTGTCGACAGCGAGCGAATACCAATCCTCAAGGAGAATAGGAAGCCCATCTTTGCTCTACGCGGGTTGGACTGCAGCGGATGGGAGCCCCCCAATCCACATATGGCCCAAGGTCCAGTAGAGGCAAAATAGGCGGAGTTTGCTTAAGAGTTAAGATTGCCTGAGTAGTGTGCTTTTTACATCTCTTGAAATTTCTGTTCTTGTTCATTGGGTAACACATTTTGTCTAGATAATAAGTTGGGTTATTGTATTATCTATATATCAAAATGGCACTACTAGGCCACTAGGGGAACTAAAAGAATTTGTAAAATTGTATTTTTTTTAGTAAAACTAGAGACGTTACTGTTATACTTTTTTTTTTGTGAAAACAATTTACTGCTAAGCATTTTCTGGGAAAAACATGTTATGCATTTAAATCCGTAATAATTACCATCATGTGGTGTCGTCAAGCTCCAGATCCGTCGCTCCATTCTTTCAGAAGTGCTCATACGGGTAGAATATGCGTGTTTATTGTGTGGGTGTCGAGTATCTGCGTATGTGCCATGGTTAAAAAAACCATCCCATTACAAAGACTCAGGACAAAAATATAGAAAAAACACATACAGTTCTTTGGTTTTTTAGAATGCACCTAAAAACCTAGTCCTGACTCAAGAACTTCTTGAACTCCATTATTCTTTCCTTGATTTCGTGGTCCACCAAAACAAACAAGTTGATTTTCAGTTCAACGCGGTTCGGGGTGCTTTGAGCTTGAAGATCACGTTACCAAAAATTCTGTGGATGCAACTAGGTTGGGAACTTGGAACATATTGAGACTTAAAGAGGTCTGAGAATTTGATTCCATTCACGCATTAACCATCTTTGTAGTCCACCAATTCCCATCAGATTAGACGAGCGAACATATTCACGCTACCTTCTGTATAAAATCCTCTTTTCCATGGATGATACACGGAATGAAGATTTTCTGTATTTATTTGGTAAAAGCTATTTTTTTAATCACAGTATAAATGTAGATGCTCATAAACACATATGCACCCTCGCTCATATGAACAATAGCACATAAATCCTGTACTCATGAGCACCTCAAAAATACTGACCCGACAGATCTTAAAATTGATGAAGTTACCGTAGACGTCTCACTATTGATGCACATGCCGCCTACCACTCAAAGAATTAACACCCCTATGAATGCATGTATGGTCATCTTATCCTATGAGCACCTTCAATAGACAGATCTCAAGGTGTACTCTATGTCTGGTGTAAATAAGAATCTTTATTGCTTGCATGTGCTGTGTGCTGAGGGTCCGTTGCGAGTAGGGATTGCATCTATGCGTCTATGGGCTGAGGATCTATCTGGGTCTTCGATCAGGGGCTCCCTATCCCCTTCTTATATAGTATGAGGGTAAGGTTACAGATAAAGTCCTGGTATAGTCTTGATAAGTTTACAGGGAAGTTTTCTAGTCAGTTACAATAGATGAAGTCAGCTTTCATGTATATCTTGCTATGACTTGTCCATCAAGTAGATACAATATATCCCTGTCTGATTGGGCCTCTCGAGTAGTCAGATCGGACCACTCCCTTATGGTTGGGCGATTTTTGTTAAAGAGGATACCATAGATACCATATTGATGTAAGCACTACAAATTGTCTAGCCTGAGGCTATCGGCTACAAAAGTAAAACAAAATTGACTCCATTGTCGATTGTTGGGCATAATGAAGTTATTCTAAGCACAACATGAAGTTTTTCTTGAAGAACGATGAAGTTTGGACCTATTTGAACTAATTAGAATTGTTAGCTGGTGTAACAGAACCGATCAATTATACGAAATTAAGTAAGAAAATCATCCGCCAGAGCAGACGATTTAGCAAACTTAAGCCCGTATAACCCGGTAGTCCGTGAAATCACGAAGGATTTCAAACCAACTCACATACCAGCCAAGATCGTAATAAGTTTAGCGGTCACGATCACATATTACATAAAAGTTCGCATCACAGATACATCAGAGTTTAAACATAGTTATTACAAATGAGTTCGAATAAAAGTAGCGGAAGCCATTTGTTCAAAACCACACGCACTCACACGAAGTTCAAATACAGTGACAACTAATGATCATCTCCAACAAAAGCATCAGACGAGACGTAAGGAATGACCATGCTCATGGTCCTAAGCATCACCCATCACAGGATAAAGGCAGTTGATATAGTAGCCGTAATACATCTGCCCATCTGCAACAAGTGGGAACAAAACCCTGAGTACGAGAAGGTACTCAGCTAGACTTACCCGACATAACCGAAAATAAAGTGACACCAAGGATTATGAAAGGATTTATAGTAGGGTAGCAGACTCATTTGCAAAAAGAGGTATTTTTAGTATTTCAAGAACCTTTCCAAAAGCATTATTGTCAAGTTAATTATTATTAACCTGTCGACTACATTTGCACCTATACTAGAGCAAGCATGTGATTAAGCAAATAATGATAACCAATGATCATTAACAACTTCCATAATGTCATATTCATTATAACTGTCCAAGTGTTCCATCAACATTACTACGATGAAGTCACTCAAGTCAAGTGCTCACTATCCAGGAGCGATGGCGATTCGAATCGATTCCTAACCAGCTGGTGATTTATTCCTTACACAAACCTCACTCACCCGCTAAAGTGAGGTATCGGTCACCGAGTCAACTATCCAGGAAAATCTCGAGTTTGCCAGGAACCACATGTACCCGGGGGCCGACCGACCGCCCTTTGGTCTTATCATCGCGCCTCCGTGTCCTACCACACCTGCTCCGGTACAGTGCGCTGCAGGCAATCTACTCGGCCTGAATAATCTCCCAGCTTCGCGGTCGAATGGTACTTTATTCGGCCAGCTAAATGTAAGGCATGCGTTCAACATGACCTGAGGCCCAACAACGGTCGGTCCTTAATCGACACAGACGGAAAGCACTACAGTCCAAAACTCTGTAAGTCTCCGTCCGGTCTCAACTTCAAATTAACACTTAGTTATACACTGACTACATAGTTATCCAAGCAGATCCAGGTAACCACCTATAGCTCGCAGGTGACAGAAAATCACCCGACTTCTACCGGTCTAAGCCAGCTAAGCATTGACTCGACTGCGGATACCAGGGTAACAAGGATATAGTATAACAAAGGTAGACAAGGTATAATGCAGCAACGGTTGCAAACAACTCCTGAACGTAATGCATCAATTAAAGTAAAGCATTTAATTAATAATTGCAAACTGGGGAGAAAAATGCTCTGGGGCTTGCCTCTCTCGAAGGAGCTCGGGCGGTGATCGGGGCACTCCGGAAGTTCCTCAACGTCCTCCTCGTCTGCTTCGATCACTTCCTGCGGCTGCACCTCGAGCTGCTCCTCGGGCTCCTCGGGTATGACGACTGGGCTCTCGATTTGCGATCCTATATGATGCAGGTGCGTAAGTGCTTATGCAAAAGGTGTATCGGATGAAATGAACACAATGGATATGCTTGAATGCAAGGTAGTCAACATCATCCAAGAACATGTACTACAAGCATATGTCATCTACTGCATTCTCTTCTACTACTAATATGCTAAGTCAACACATCTCATTAAATACTTCAAAGATACACCAAAGCTTCACTAATTTCTTAATCATACATAAAGCAACATTTGATTAAACCCTAATTAATAATAGGTTTGAATAGCAACATCTATTTTTATAGCTTAGAAAAATCTTAGAAAATTACCATAGCACAGTACTACCCTAAGTAGTCTACCATTAAATTTTTATGACATTTAAATAAGTGGAGTAGCCTACACAAAAATGACAAGCTATGGAATAATTATGAACATGAAAATACTTTGTATTATGAAAAGTGTCAAACAACAGATGTAATATTTTTCCTATGTTCTATACAGTAAATAATCATTGCACAAAAATTATCACATGCATGTTTTATACAAAATTTGCTCTCTAGTAAAAATAACAAAAATCAGCCATTAAAGGCACTTGAACTACACCTCACAATTTTTCTACAGGACATGCATGGCATATATTTTTCCTAGGAAGTACATTACACAAAAAGAGTAACAAACTTGAAAGCATATTTTTATGATACATATAGGTTTTACTACACACTTTACAAGATATCAGCAATATCAAGAATTAAATAAAGCTCTAAAGAAAAGTATCTCAAAAATGACATACAATATTTTTATCATGTAGATCTGGTGATAAGGAACACAACAAAAATTGTTTCAACCAATTTGGAGCCAAAATGAGTACACAAACATTTCCCAAAGTATTTCTCTTCCCAAATAATAAAGAAAAACCGAAAACATTTTTCCTATTACTACTGGGCTGGCCCATGGGAACGACTGGCCCACAGCTGCTTTCGGCCTGCACAACCGAGCGGAGGGAAAGGCGACGGCCCGGCTCAGGGCTCCGGCCCAAGACCGACCTGGCCCAGCAAGGCCGAGGCGAGACGGCCACGCCACGCCGGCGTTCCAGGCGCC